CTGAGGTCTTTTGTTTCAGGATGAATTTTAATATATAGAAATAGGTCTATTGAAGCTATATATAGCCTGTAGAGGTAAACTTGTAGACCGTGTTAGTACAAATCTTCTCGCGTTCTATCAAGAATGATGTTTTCTTATTTACGCTTCTCACTATCTATTCTGTTGTAGATAGTGAGTAGCCTAGCTGTGTGCGGTTGTAAACAAAATTGCGGCCTTTTCTTCACGTTTTCTAAATGTCTGTGAAGAGGATTTAGATAATTTACAGCAGATTTTCAATTATACTAAAACTATTACATAATTTACGCCGGCCTTCGACAACTATCACGCCAACGATCTCGACCTCATAATCCAACTGTTGAAAAGAGTTACAAAAGTTCCTTGTACACTCTTTTAAGCATTGTCCTTTAAGTGTTAAATCCGACAGAACTCCTGCGAACAAAGCCTTTTTATATGTAGCTCGATTACGCAAACACTGGTTCCAGCTTCTTTTGTCCTTTGTATTTTTAAGCAATTGTTTTATTATATACTTTTCTATATTCAAGCGCATCGCAAATTCCAGCTACATGAGCAGAATAGCGAAGCGCGCGAGTGACGTTATAACTCAGACAAACTCACACAAACAAAACGGAGTGGTGGAAGATTTGAAGCTTTTTCAAGCGCGTAAGCAAGTGTTTCTGAAACAATTTTTAAACCTAAACTTCGGCGCTCATTTTCCTCCTTTTGCTCTCTCCCGGGGTTCCAATAATTTGCATTCTATTTTTAACCTTCGCCCGCTACGTTATTTATGAATAACAAAACATCTAATAATAGTCTTTTCATGAAAAGACATACTCGTGCAAATACTAGTTCACACAACCAACATTAAGAGCACGTTTAAAGTACCATGTCATTGCAGGAACAAGATAAATAAGGAGCCTTTCTTGAACAGTGTTAATTCTACATTAACTGCCAAGGAAACTCCACCTAACAGGGGACTGTGCTACGCCAGAAAACTATCTAAAGAACACGAAAGGTCAGTTAACGGAAGAGAGATGAATCACACTACGGCCAACACCACTTTGATTAGTTGTGGTTTCGCATTTCTTCCTCTAAATCCCGCAATGATTCTTCCTGATCTTTTCGCTGTATTTATCGTCAGAATCGTCGTTAACCTCCTCACCTGTCCTCTAATCATTTTGCTCAACATCCTGGTGATGGTTGCAGTGAAAACCAAACGACAGCTTCGCACCAAATCTAACATAGCACTCGCCTGTTTGGCCACAACTGACCTCGTGGTAGGTCTAGTTGTTCAACCTCTACTCATCGCCAGCTCTGCCTTACTCTTCGAAGGTAAAACAGACACGTTTTGCAGTCTAACTGACACATCATTTGCTGTTACAAGAAAATGTGTTCCAGCGTCGTTATACCATTTGTTTTTAATCAGTTTAGAACGTTACATTGCGGTTAAACATCCCTTCACGTACCAGAACAAGGTGACTGAAGGTCGTATCATCATTGTCTCTGGTCTGGTGTGGGCTGTAGTGATCCTTCTTCCCAGAGAGGAACTCTCGAAGACTGACATTCATTTTGCAATGATAATAGCTGGATCTCTTATACCGTTCATTTTGTTTCCCGCGATAATTTTCTTTAATGTTTCTGTATACAAGGAAGTCCGCCGTGCCGAGAAACAAATTGCTACTAACCAAGTTTCTTTAGAAGCCAAGGAGAAGTTACTTAATAACAAGAAAGCTTTGTACACGACGATAGTTCTATTACTCGCCATGATTCTGTGTTACATTCCAGTAAAAATAAGTAATTATGTTATGACCTTCCTTAAAAAGAGCATCCCTTCTTATGATGGATATTCATTTTTATGTCTAGTTACTTTATTACCAGTAGTGAATTCGTTGTTTAATCCGTTGATTTACGCCGCTAGAATGAGATGTTTTCGCGTAGCTTTCATTCAGTTGTTGTCGAGAAAAACTATTTCACAAGCTGAGGAACTTGAAAGGAAAATCTTTGGACCACGGCAGCTTGGAGTCGCAACTAATGTCCAGCAACGACAACATCGTGGGGCAAGCAGAGAGGAAGAACAACAGGGAAATGAGACAATGAACAATGAACACGACACGACAGTGCGAACACAGCCACAAGAGGAATATGAAGAAACAGCTCTGTGAGGACATAGGTGAAAATCTCTTGAAGGCTTTAGCTCAAAAGACCGGGCTTATTAAAAATTCATTAAGTTTAAACAAAGGACTGTGTTTTGACTAACTATGGTTTGGATATCTTACCCTAATTAGTACAGATTAAATGATTCTTTTTCTCTTTAGTTTTAGTTTCGATGTAATATATCAAACACGAGAGACAGTGTTTCACTGATATATCAAACGCTCAAGACAGTGGCCGCTTTCCATTCGATAAAAAAATAGACTGTTCACAGGCCTCTTTTCCTCGTATGTTTAATTGAGGGGGACAATGGGGTTCGCGGTATTGAACAGTTTTTCTTACGGTATGTCGGTAATTTTAATCTCGAATTACGTTATTGCGGTATGCTCCGAAACCGCGGGATGCGTTTTTTTCGCATTTTGGACGGTATTAAAAATTATCCTCCAAGTCCTCCAACGTTTCGCGAGCCTTTTCCAAAGTCTGCTGAAAAAGGAAGGAAAAATGCATCGAATGATAATTCGCGTTATTCTCATCGATCACTTTCGACAATTTTTTTTTTATTTTCCTTCACGATTTACAAAATGGTGCGCAACTTCCACCTTAAACAGATTGATTGCAAAACAGTCTGAAGTACAAGGAAAAATTACCACAAGAGAAGAAAGTTTCTTGTTTTGGAGGATGGGGAAGTTCTTTTTTTAAAAAAAACAAAACAAAACAAAAAAAAACAAACAAACAAACAAACAAAATGCGTACGACAGTAAACATGTCTTTCTGCGTCCGTGTTCGCGAGCTCAAGAGTTTTCATTGGCTTAACCATCATAGTATATATAAACA